GGAAGCATAGAGTATGTTGAGACCTGGAATACAGTGAACTTTTGTTATATACTGACCATCCTGTGCACTGAATGAAGCAAGGTTCTGAGTGGGAGAGCCAGGAGTGTGCTCCTGAAATGAAAGACCATATCATGAATAGAAGCAAAGGACTTGAATAAAGGTTGAATAAGCAACCTTAATTCTGGCTATCTTAACTTTCTAGTGGTCCACTTTGCAACCTTCATTCTTCTAACATAGTTTTTATGTATAACCTCATAGGCTAAAAAAATCCATCAGGTAGCATCCCATTGAGCCCTACATGGGACATCAGGCTACAATCTTTCCATCCACTTGAGCTAATGACCTAAGCGATAGCAGTAGCACGTTATCATCCTCTTGGCAGGCCAGCGCTAGAGGGGGCTGATGCACACTTTGCTAGTGGGTTTCACAAATAATTACTGACAGCAGAGGAAGGGTGAGACTTAGGAATATTGGGTTCCATTCCAGGTTCTAGGAAAGATTGCTCTGATGGGTAAAAGGCCATATTGCCTGTTTCCTCTTCCTCCCCCACCCACCCCTCCTCCATGCCTGACCCCTTGGCACCATTCCTGCCAGACTATTCCTGCCCCAGTACTGTCTCATCTGCTTCTTGGCTGAGCAGTGTGCCTCTGTTTTCTCCCACCTCCCAAACCCAATCTCCCTCTCACCCTTTTTCCCAGTCAGCTGAAATATTTAGATGGCCACCATTACTATAGTATTAAACAACTCCCAGTCTTTAATGTCTTCATCCTCCCAAAGCCTAGGTGGGATAATGAAGTACTAATACGCTCAGGCTATGTCCACACTGTGTTTCTTGCAGAAGCGGAAATGCAAATGGAGTGCTCACTTGCGTATCTTCCAATCCTTTTTGTGGAAGAGGGTTTTTTTGTAATTAAAAAGCCCTGTGTATATGGGACCATTTGTTTGGGGAGAGAACCCTTTTGTGCAAGAGTGCTTCAAAAAATGAGGTTTACAGGCTCTGGTGCAAAAGGGTTTTTTGTTGTTTTTGTTTCCCTGACAAATAGCCCCAGGTACACAGGACTTTTTATCGCAAAAACCTCTTCCACAAAAAAGATTAAAGATATGCAAATAAGTGCTCCATTTGCATTTCCTCTTCCACAAACACACAGGCTACATCTAGACTGGCATGATTTTTCGCAAATGCTTTTAACGGAAAAACTTTTCCGTTAAAAGCATTTGCGCGAAACCGCATCTAGATTGGCATGGACGCTTTTCCGCAAAAAGTGCCTTTGCGGAAAAGTGTCTGTGCCAATCTAGACGCAGTTTTGCGCAAGAAAGCCCCGATCACCATTTTCGCGATCGAGGCTTTTTTGCGCAAAACAATACTATGTTGTCTGCACTGGCCCTCTTGCACAAAAGCATTTGCGCAAGAGGGCTTTTGCATGAACGGGAGCAGCATAGCATTTCCGCAAGAACTGACAATCTTACATGAGATCGTCAGTGTTCTTGTGGAAATTCAAGTGGCCAGTGTAGACAGCTTTTGCGGAAAAACTTGCCAGTCTAGACGCAGCCACAGTGTAGAGGTAGCCTGAGAGGTATCCATGTTGGTTGGTAAGTTTAAAAATGAGTGATCCTTTGCCCCATTTCCTGGGTGCCAGCAGGAGGAGCATTGAGAGGACAGAAAGGAGGGTTTCTCTACTCTCAGTTCTGCCTAAAAGACTTCAACAGCTGGTTGGAGAAATTGCAGGGAAAAATCTTGCTCAGCCATCCCTGATCTGGCACATGCTTAGTGTAGGTGAGAATCTATAGCAGTGGTCACCAACCAGTAGATCAGACTCTACTGGTAGATCTTGGAGCCTTTCACAGGTGATCTTGACGGGTTTGGCCAGGAGGCTGTCAAGTGCTGACACTTTATCTGCCCATCTCAGCACTGCTTTGCTGCTTCTGCCTTGGCGCTGCTCCACCCCGGAGCCTGTTTGCTGTGCAGAACACAGGAAGAGAAGGGGGTGCTCAGGGCTGGCCTTACCATGAGGCGAACTGAGGTGGCCGCCTCAGGTGCCAGACTGGGGGAGGCACCACTAGTTCACACTTTTTGAACAAGGCATTTTAAGTTGTTAGTTCTCCTTTATTGGGATATCAGGGGGTAGCCGAGTTAGTCGGTTACAGAAAAAAACCAGCAAGCAAATGGTCTGGTAGCACTTTATAGACAAACAAAGGTGTCATTTGAACTCCCTGCCTCAAGTGCCAAAATGTTGTGGACCGGCCCTGAGGGTGCTGATGTCAAGGTGCCTTCCCCCCCACCCTGTATCCTATCTCCACTGAGCATGCAGGGGGAGGGCAGGGATGGAGAGAGATCTCTGGCTGCCTTTGGGAGTGATGCAGAGTTTGGGATGCAGGAGGGGTTCAGGACTGGGGCTGGGGTTTGGAATGCAGGCTCCAGCTGGGCACAGGTGGCTTCTGAGTGGTGGTGAATAAGTCAGACTTACCCCTACTCTGGCCCTAACCCTGAGTTGCCATACACCCATTGTGCACCTCAACTCTGCCCCAGGCTCAGCTCAGAACCCCTCCCTCACTCCAAACCCATTAGCCCTTCCCCCACACTCCAGCCCTCTGCCCCCCTCCTGATAAATGTGAGTGAGGGTGGGGAATGGAAGGAGGATGGGGTGAGCCGAGGCGGGGCCTCAGAAGGGGTGGGAAGGAGGCGGGACAAAGGTGTTTGGGTTTGAGGTAGATCCTGGATTGCACTTAAATTCAAAAAGTTATCTCCTGCTTAAAAAGGTTAGACCACTGATCTATAGAGTTTAGATGTCAGATTCTTACACATCTCTACTGACTGTGCAAACTGAGATTTTTTGCAAAGCTTTATCACTTGGAAAATTTGGGCAATTTTCCATGAGAACAGCTGAGAGCATGTCCCTGACATCCAGACACCACCTTTCCCAACACCACTAAATTTCAATCACTTGCTCAAAAGCATGCTAGAACTTCTTATCTAATCACCTGTATGAATGTTTGCTTGGGTAAAAAACATGTATCTTTTCCTTAATCTCATTCTTTGAAAAGGCTTAACCATTTTTGTTGAAATTTTCCAAAAATGTTCAACCTGAAACACTTAGCATGGGAAATTTCAGCCCAAACCATTAAAGTTAAGCAAAATTACAACTAAAAATCCCAACTTATAGTGGGAAATGTCTGGCAAGGCAATCATATAGGCAGTGCTACCTGTTTTAAACTCAATCATGATTGGTAGAAACTCTTGTTGAGGTCTGCAAAATGGGTATAATCCTGGTTCCACTCAGCGAACTTTTGTGTAACTCTGGTTTCACTTTAACAGAATAAATTAACTCCCCATTACACTGGGTAAATTTTCCTCTCTTCCTTTTGGGGGGGGGGGGGGAACTCTGCTATGCCTTCTGAAATATGACTTAATAATGTAGTAAAAACATGCTGTGTCAGAACTTAACTGTGAGGTGGCTGAGAAGCCACAATTCTCACTGATTACTGTGTCTGCATCAATACATTTTTAAAAGACACTGCAGAGAGTTCCTATCTTATGCTTTTTTTTTTATTTAATACATTCCTGGTGACAATCAAGGATTTTTAAACACACATGGCATTTTTTTAAAATAGATTTAGTCCACGTAAGTCATTTTCCAAGTCCATCCATAACATTAATATCCAGTACCTTCTTTCGGTTAAGCAAACTTGTAGATATTTGTGCAAAAGTCTTTCAACAGCAGCAATAGGAGGCAGGATCAGCAATTAGAAGTGGGGAGAGAAGAAACCCAGCTGGCAGTTTGTGGCCAAGAAGGGGGGGGAGAACCAAATGGCAATCCCCCCCAGTTAGAACTACTAAATCACTGTTAGTTACTCAGCAAATACACTAAGAAACCTCTCTGGAGGATTGGGAATAAAAAGCTACAGAGGATTTACTTGCTGGGTGTCCTTGTCACTGCTTGAATCTCATTCCAACAATTTCTTTGAGAGCCAGAAAGTCCTCTTATGGCACTTCCAGTAGTTCTTGAGTGCCAGGCTCCTCTATTGGTCCTTACAGTATGAAGTAAGCAGCTAAGGAAGAGGTTATTCAATATTCCTGAGAAGAAAAGCAATTGTCACTGGTGACTCCATATTACAAAGAGTGGACAGGAAATTCTGCAAGGGTCACAGTGACGATGGGGAAGTGGGCTGTCTCCCTACAGTGAAAATATCTGAGAGAGCTGCTAGCATGTTGAAAAATTGGAAAGGATTTAGAGAGGAGAGCTCCAAATGATTTGAAGACTGGAGAAAATGCCTGGCAGTGAGACTTAGACATTGATTTGTATAGCTTCTCAAAAGAAAACTGAGAGGTGACTTGATCCCAGTATATCGGGGGGGGAAAGTATTTTCAACAGAAGGTGTATTTATTTGTAGAAGTGTTAAACCTTCTGATTGTGCTTGAGAGAATCGTTCAGCTTCTACAAGAACACTTTCTCCTTTACTTGGTGGGCCTGGAAATAGAAAAATAAGTGAGTTGTTGGAATATGAATGTACATATCAAAGGTATAATGGTTACACCTAACAGTGCAGTGACTACAAATACATTGTGGTCATTCTTTTTGAGAATAATTACCACTAATTTATGTAGCCAGGGGCTTCCGGGAGTAGCGGAGTTAGTCGATTACAGGAAAAAAAAACAACAAATGGTCTGGTAGCACTACCAGCCCATTGGTGGTTTTTTGTGTAGCCAGGTTAACTAATGATAAAGTAATTACAATAGAAATAGGGTGTACCTGGATTCTAAAAATTCATACAGTATGAAACAGACAGCACAGTCATACAGTTAACCTACTTATTAATCAATCCATACAATCAGTAGGAATCAAAGCACAACCACAGTGTAACTGAAACACACAGACTAGTTGGCTATTTATTGTATTGAATGCCTAGCTAACCAAAGAAGTCTTGCCTGCCTTATGCCACAAGCCTCTGTGAGGTCACTGCCTCTGTCTAGTCTGGGATTGCTCACTACCTCAGCCCCATCAGCAGCATTGTGGTTGCGTAGTCTCTAGCTCTCTCCCTTCATGTCTCTGCCCAGGATAACACATTAAGGTAGATGCTGTAAGGGTGCTGTGCTGAGTTATCTATGGTAATGGTTTTTGGGGGGGAGGGGTGTTCTAAGCTTGAGCATTATTAATATGGTCTGAATTTCTGACTAATAGTGAATACTGTGGACTGGTTTAGGCCAAATATGAAATAATGTCCAATAGTTTTACCTGTGCACATCCATATAATGCAGCCAGCTTGTCTGCATGAAATGATGACAAATGAGTCAGGGAGTCTCAGCAATGTCTCTAATGGACATTATAGCCCTCATAAGCACTTAGACTCTGTAAACTTTCATGAGGAGGACTTGGTTTACAGCAGTAACATTTCTCTACTTCTCATGGGGGGGGGGGGGGGCCAGGTAACCATTTGGCTATAATTTCTGTCAGATATTCTCATGAACCCTCTTCCATGAAATGTGAAGTGTAGATGTGTCCATTTCTTTGGATCAATTATCAGTTTATGTATTTCTAATATACATTCTTGGACCCTGTCATGAGGCAGTGAATCGTTTCCTTCACTGCTAGTTCTTATAGAGATGGGCTAGAACCACAGAGTCCTGATGCAGAGCTACAAATCTCCAAGCATCCAGATTTTGTGGTCCAGTTCAGGATCAATGATGTTAAACTTTTTTTTAAGAGGTTATGTTTTCATTGCCCTATTGGTGCACATTTAGGGTGTGTCTACACAGCACCCTAAACTCATAGCTTAGTTTGAGTATTACGAAATAGCTTATTTCGTCATTTGGTGCTGTTTACACAGTGCCAAATTTCAAAAATACAGTGCTATTTCAAGCCGTTCCTTACTCCTCATGCAATGAGGTTTACAGGGATGGTGAAATAGCACGTCCCGCTATATTTTGAAATAGCGGATGTGTTCAAAAGACGTGGGATAGCTATTTGGGATTACCTCTGATATCTCAAAATAACTTTGCTGTATAGACATACCCTTATGCCACTGTGTTCTGTGGTACAGCTGTGGAACAACACATCATTCTACATCCTTAAAACTAATATTACTACTACTAATAGACACTAATGTACAACCCCCAAGGACTGCAGAATACCTCTACAATATTTGCCACGTAAATTTCTCATAAATGAGATTAGAACCAGTTGAATTATTTTTCGTGACTGAGAGTCACTGAATTTAGCCCTTTTTTGTGTTTCTGAATGAACCTGATTTCTATTCATGTGTGCATGGCATTCATAAAAGGATACAAACAACTTTCACCCTGTGGTTCAGTTGCAAACTGTTCTCTTTGACCTTTGCATAAGAGGGGGCAAAGGGTAAATTGATTTTTTTTGAGTAGCATTGTTTGCTGATAGTGGGTTATTGCTGAATTATTCTGCTGCACTTTAGATATCTGGGAATTAATTTTGGTATAATGTCAGAAGGCCTAGAGCATGCAGGTCAGTGTTTTTGTGTTTTGTGGCAAATAGTAGAGCTATAATGTTGATTTGCAAACATTTTTAGAAATATACCAGCATTCAGTTAAACATGGTGAGATTGCTGTATTCTTCTCTATGGGGTCATGTTTGAGTATTTATTTGCCAACCTTTTGGTGACTCTTTCTACCAGCCGTGCTGATGCTGGAATTTCTCCTAGAGCTAAGTCATGTTTATTCAGCAACGATTCTTGGCGTTTCTCTGGTGGCTATATGAATGCAAGGGTCCCTAGTTGTCATTGCTATTTCTCAGTGTAAATCCTTGGAACTGGTTGGCTTCTGATGTGTGCAATCACAATGCTTTTGAAAGGTTCCAATACCAGCCCTCTCCCAGTAAATCACTTTCTTTGGCCCTGACTCAGAAGGGGCCTTGTGCGTGTGCCTGACTCTGCAAGTGAGTAATCCCACTGAAGCCAATGGGACTACTCACAAGCTTTAAAGTCAGGCATGTCCTTAGGTGCCTAACTGAACTGGGGTTTCTAAATTACCCCTGGGGAAACAATGGCACTACACACACAATAGATTGCAGTTGAAGTAAGGCTGGCAGGCAAGGGCCTTATTTGAAATGCAGCCAGAGACTTTGTAAAACCAACACAAATAAGATCCATTGATTGTGTCAGCACTGGTGCACTGGAATGGAACAGCCCATGAGTACCACCATCTCCTGCCAGGCTGCATTTTAAAAAGTGCTAGGCAGGAGAAAAAGGAACATGGCTTGACTTGACAGTGCCCATTTCTGTATGCCCACTGGCCAGCAGAGAGCACAAAGACCTGGCTTTGAGTTCAAAACAGATAGGCTGGTTAGAGATACTATTGCAGGAAGCTATGGCTCCCCTATTCCTGACCAGAGGGAGGGATGCTGTGTAGGCAGCAGGCCAAGAGAAAAGTGCAGCAAAAATATACCGCCAAATTAAAGGTGCAGTGAATGACTTCCCTCTTACAGCTTTTTCCTTGGGACTCCTAATAAACCAACTAAATGAAAAAAAGAATGAGACCCTAGAGAGCAGGAGTTAGGAACAAAGAAATAGTTGCCAATAAAGGAATGGATCATTGCATCTTTTTTGTAATACTCTTGTTAAGCTTGTCTCAACTGTTCTATGCCTTCTATTGCTGGACATAAAGGATGACTTCCTAGCCTCATTGAATTTCTGGCCAAACTCCCATTGACTTCAGAAACAGGCTAGGATTGCCCTCGAGGGGACTCTGGAAGTTAAACTGTCACACAGGCTCACAGCTGGTCGGCTCAGCTGTTTTAAAACTGCAAACAAAATTCATCCAAATGGGGCTATCTGCTCTTTGGGAATGGAGACTGTCTTGGCAGCATGTTGCTATTTGCACATTGAAGGTAGAATTAGTTAACGTGACACCTGGAGGCAGTCCTCACTTCAGGAGTGGGGACCATGGCAGAAAAGACAGACCCACTAACCTCCATCCAAGCAGAATAAATTATTCATAACGTGGTATGAATGTGCACACCTTAAAGTTCATTCTCTCCATGACAATTTAGAATAAATATGGACATGTTTGTTCTACTGCCATAAAGCTTGTATCCTAGTTCTCTTGACCTCTCTGGGCAAGTTTGGTCTGGAAATGCTATCAAGTCTGGAAGTCTTCTGTGGAATTTTTCAGGCTTTTTAGTCTATAAATGATGATTGTATTGCTTGAATTAGACATGCATGTTCCTGTTTGTTCTGCTTCATCTATAGAAATTACACCTTTTGAACGTGAGGTCTCCAGGAGATTTATATAACTGAGTTATTGTGTTTCCCAAGAATGAGCATTTGTTCAATCTTGTTATCATATATCACACTAAGGAGTCAGTGGATAGGTGTCCACAAGACACTTGCTGGTATAGTGTTAACAGCTAGTTGATATCATCATGCTACCTCTGCTCCTTGCTTTCAGCTGCTAAATTTCATTTAAAAGCAGTTGCATATACATTTAGAACTGTCCTGTTATGGTTTTTCCATGTGTACAATTCCTGTGGTTGCCTTGGGGTTCTTACAACATTATCAATGTGATTGGTATATATCAATGTGAGGTGGCCTTCAAAATCATCCCTGTTTAGAAGTGGCCATGCTAATAGAGATATTTGAATCCCTGGACTGAGTATTTTGCTGTGGAAATGCCACAGCTGGAAATGCTCCAAAACCCTGTTTAACTGTAACAATCTACTAGTCCTCCAACCCTAGCCTTCAGCCAGTCATCACACAGCTATTGTGTGTGTGTGTGTGTGTGTGTGTGTGTGTGGGTGAAATCGAGACCTGTAGGGCACATCAATCACAAGGAAAGGAACCAGGAAAAGTAAATGTAGAATGCTGAAGTTATTTAGTTCAGAGGAGACATGGTGAGTTCTTTAAACAAAAAACAATAATACAATAAGCATGGCATCTATCTTCCATACAGACTAAGCTCCAGTTAATTCAAAACTTGTGGCCATCCAAATTCCATTAGATTCAGAACTCTTGGGGGGGAGGAGGAGGGAAGAATAATTGATTTAACAACTATTACTGGCTTCCAAGCCACAATATTATGATGTAGAATCACCATGGTTTAGATTTTGCCAGCAATTCTAGTGTGCCAAGTCTTCTTTGAAAGGGTTTATAAACTTTCATGCTAATGCCTCTAGACTGTAATTGGTACACAGGTAGAAACTCTCTTAACTGGAACTCTCTGGCCCAGGTGTTCCAGGATCAGATAGTCCCAGTGGAGATCTAGTGCCTTGGAGCCCTGCAGGCTGGCGGGTCAGTGGGAGCCTGACATGAGGTAATGGGGCTGCCCAGTAGGGCATCAGGAGCCCAGTGTGCAGAGGCAGTGGGGCTGCACAGTAGAGCAAAGAGGGCTAACAGGCTGCTTGGGGAGGCAGAGGGCATGTGGGGTGCTGCAGCTGGAGCCCAGTGCGCATGGAGATGGAGGGGCTGCCCTGTAGGGAAGCGGGGGCTAACAGGGCAGCAGAGGCCAGTGAGAGGGGGGAGTCAGCCAGGAGGCTGGCACTGGGGCCAGGGTTGGAAGGGGCTGGTAGCAGGGGAGCCAGAAATGTCCTTCCCTAGTCTGGCAAAATCCATTATCCAGGACCAGTCAGGTCCCAAGAGTGCCAGACCAGGAAGGTTTAACCTGTACTAGGTCTGAACCCAGGATTTAGTGGGTGTTTTTTTTAATTTAAAAATATAGAAAGTGTATTAGGTTCAATAGCTTTTATTCACACCCTGTAGCTTAAAAACCAATTCCTCTTTTGCTGCCTTACATTGTCCACTGTCGCCTGAACGCTGCCCATCAAGAATCTTATTGCTTGACACATAAAACCCCTTTTGTTGTCTGCCTAAAAGTCTGAGCTCTTCAGGGTAATCACCTATCTATTCCTGTGTGCTCAGTCTGAACAGCAGCATTGAAAAGTATTGCTGTGTGTACCAATAGGCCAACTCACAGGCCTGTATGACCAAGACAGCTCTCATCAGCCACAGCAGTTCAATCCCTTTCTTCGGGGATAAAAAGTTTCAGAAGAGAAGCCATGTTAAGCTTTCGTTTTTAAAGTTAGACTAACACTCATGGTACTGTGTGTGTAATTTTTTTTATTAGTCTCAAAGGCAGTGGTCACCAACCAGTAGATCAGGATCTACTGGTGGATCTTGGAGCTTCTGACAGGTGATCCTGTCTGGTTTGGCCAGGAAGCTACCAAGTGCTGGCATTTCAGTTGCCCCTCCACCTACTGCCCTCTGCCTTGGAGCTGCCACCCTGGGAGCCTCCTGCTTGCTGTTCAGAGAGTGGGAGGGAGAAGGAGGGGGTGCTGATGTCCAGGTGTCCCTTCTGCCCTCACTGCATCCTGAATCCCTATCCCAGTCCTGAGCCCCTTCCTGCACCCAACTTCCTGCCCCAGACATGGGCTCCCCTGCTCCCAAACTCCTTCCTAGAGTTTGTACCCTGAACCCTCTCATGGACCCTAATCCCCCATCCTGAGCTAAACCCAGAGCTGCTCCTACACTCCAAACCCCTTGGCCCAAGACCAGAGCCTGCACTCCAACCTGGCAAAAGTGAATGAGGATGGGAGAGGAAAGGGGGATAGCATGAGCAGCGTGAGGCCTCAGAAAAAGGATGGAGCAGTGGCAGGAAGGAAGTGGGACAAGAGTATTTGGGTTTGAGGTAGATCTTACATTACACTTAAATTGAAACAGTGATCTTGTAGTTAAAGAGGTTGGAGACCACTGCTCTAAGATGCCACAGGACTACTCATTTTTTTTCAGGGACTTAGTTTTATTTCTCCAAATAAAACAGTTCAGCATGTAAATTATGGCCTTTCCTTTCCCAGAGGCTCCCCTTGGTTCTCACTTCCCAGGCCATCCAAGGAAAGTATCTGGTTTCCATTCTCTTTTTCATCCCTACTCCCTGTGGGATTACAGCCCCCAACCAAGCCATCTGCCTGAGAGTTGAATATAAGCCAGGCTCTTTCCCATGAGCCAAAATGTCTGGTAGGAACCTACCTAATCCTTGCAGGTCACCCAGCCAACTAAACAGCTTGGCAGACTTTCATCTGACCACCTGGGAGGCAGCTGATTAATCACAGGTGCTGAACCAAGCTCTCTTGAAAGGCCAATCCACCCTGCAATAAGATGGGATTTGGTAGGTCACTGTGAATTGCGATGGCTTCATTATGAATTTCATCTCTTGCCAAGTCTTTGCTTGTTTGCTTTTACTTTTCAGTGCAAGTTTGCGTTTTTTGGAAACCCTGCTGTATAAAGGACAGAGGGACCAGAACTGATTGGGGAACGAGATTTTGTTGCTCATACAAATGTATAACTTTTCTAAATGTCCCTCAAGCTTTTTGTTTGACTAGGGAAAAACACTTCAGAGAGATCTGGGTTTTCTGAAAAATGTCCATAGAGTAAAATGGAACAGTGGAAGGGGAAATGGATGCCTCACAGGAGTGAGAGACAAGGGGATTAGAAGAGGTGGGAGTGAATATGTTCTGGAAGGAACAGAGCTGGGAGAAATGGACTGCTAAGGTAGCTTTGCAGTCTGTCCTAAATAGCCTCGTTCTGGGAAAAGCAGTGGTGGCCATTCAAAGGAAGCTCTAAGGTGACCATAAAAGATTGAACAATTGCTGGGGGTATGGAGGCTTTGGGTCCCTTGAGCCCAGTGTAATGAGCGGAGGATGGACAAGGCAGGGGAAAAATCATGTGTATGGCATAAACCAGAGTTAAGATGCTTAACTTACATGTGTGGCTCTTGCCTGTAGAGAAGGCTTTCAAAAGACCCGGGAGGGGGAGAGAGAGCTACTGAACTGTGCTATAAACTGCTAGAGTGGTGGCCAATGAAGTTTCAGCCATACAGGATTGAATTAGAAATGATCTTCCTTGTTTTACCCAAGCTTGGTTGACTGACACTCCTGAGCTGGCTTAGCACAACTGGTTCCAGCTGCATATCCAGTACAGTATCACATAGGTACTGGAACTATGGGTGGCTTGATGCGGTTTCCATCGTATACAGTGTTTCCAGTTTGGTTCAACGGTTCTCAGCAGCCCCACTACAGGCAGTCGCCGGGTTATGTGCAAGATAGGGACTGCAGGTTTGTTCTTATGTTGAATTTGTATGTAAGTCGGAACTGGTACATATTGTAGGGGAAACGCTAGCCAAACATTTCTCCAGAGCTCAGTTTTATTCTCCCACACCTCACTTCCCTCAGTCCTTTATTCTCAAGCTGAGGTGTCTGCTGAGAAAAGCCGCTCCACGTCTCCCTGGTCTGCTGAAGCCGCTCCGCGTCTCCCTGGTCTGCTGGGGAAGGGGGGGCCGCTAGCTTCGCGTCTCCCTGGTTTGCTGGGGGGGAAGCAGCTAGTGTGGGGTTGCCTCACCCCGTTTGTAAGTAGGGATCCGATGTAAGTCGGATCCATGTAACCCGGGGACTGCCTGTATAAAAATGGTTCCAGTACCCCTGCAGCATCCATGTGGCAAGAAGATGGTGTAACCTTCTCCCACTGACGGAAGCCCCCCTTCCCTGATTAATTCTAGCAGCTAGCAATTAGTAAGGATGCCAGGATCTCTTAAGTCTTGCTCTTTCTCCTGCCCACTCTCCTCACATTGGTGGCTAGGAGGGAGGTGGCCTAGGAACCACTACAAGGGCTCTCTAGCCCTTTTCCCTCCCAGGATTCTTGTATGCACTGGAGTAATGCAAAGCTGCCGCAGGCTCTAGACCAACATTTTGGGGCTGCCGGGTGCCTGGGGGCAGGGCCGCTCATGCGCTGCGCATATGGGGGCGGGGCCGCTCACAGGCCACGTGACTGAGGGCAAGGCCAAGCATGCACCGCACACCCGAGGTCAGCACTGGCATGTGTTGCGATCCCGGGCAGGGGCTGCCCAGGTTCCGTGTGGCGGGGCCGGGACCAGGGCCAGGGCACACGCGGTGCCCCTGGGGGCGGGGCCAAGGCCAGCACCAGGGGCGGGGCCAAGGCCGGGGCTGGCAAGGGCATGTGCAGTGCCCCTGGGGGCGGGGCCAAGGCCAGGGCCGGCAAGGGCCAGCAAGGGCATGCGCGGTGCCCCTGGGGACGGGGACGGCCATGTGCCCGGGGCTGGCACCTGCCGCACGCCCGGGGGCGGGAACAGCCCAGATTGCTCCGCGGGCGCACATAAAGGGCCTGGCGGGCGTCATGGTGCCCGCGGACACCGTGTTGGGGACCACGGCTCTAGACCATTAAACTAATACCTTATAAAGGCAATGGAAAATGCCCCGTCCCCCCCTTCCCAATCCAACTGCGACCGTTAAAACACTCTCAGGTTGGAAATGTGATCTCTGGGCTAAGTTGTAACTTACTTTTTCTGGTTTCCTGACTATCCAAAATGTTCTGCCTCTCTTCTGCTCCTGAAGCAGAATCCGAGGTCATCGCTTTCCTGGTGAGACTGCTGTACTCCTCTTCCTCGTGACTCTGTGCAAAGCATATGAATGGTGAGGAAATGATCTCCCAGAGCCCTGAGTTTGGTGCGCTGTTCCCAGGGCAGATGAGACGGTGGGCTATATTCTCTCAAACACATGGGAGTAACTCTGGAGTGATCCTGTCTTCCAAGGAGTAAGAAGGGAGCTTATTCCATATTTACACCAGTATAACAGAGCAAATTTTGGTCTGTGATGTCTTGTAATGCTCTTGCCCATATCACACAACATAGGCATGAGGGGAAAGGAAATCTTTCCCTGACATCAGAGGGTTAGCATTATGCTCTGATACATGAGGATGGTAAGCCTTGTGCTTATGTCCTGTTTGGTGCAGCTACCAGTGCTTCCCTCTAAGTGCTTCATTCTGATCTCACGCTGTTGCAAAATATTAGTAACTGCCCTGAAGCCAACTGTGTTAGCTAGTGTAAAAGTGTGCAATGAGAATCAGATTCATAAGTATCCAATAGTGTCCATGCAAATTTCCTGACAAAGAACCTATTTCTCTCCTAGCATAGGGGGTATTTCTAATGAGAAATGTATCTACCTTCAAAATCAATTGTAAAATTCCTTTAATGATTCTTTGGGAGGTTTTTTGTGTTCTGTTTTTTTTTTTAAATTGTTACTGCAATGGGAAACCATATTGCACAAGAAGAGTTAAACAAAAACAAAAAAAACCACATGAAATGTCATTTTAATGATACTATAAAATGGAATAGTTTTTCTTGAAGTATTTGGATGATGATGCCTTTTTCCAAGGAGTTGACAAAACTGAATACAAACAATACAAGTAAGATGGTTAAAAATAAATGGTAGACTGGGCTAGCCTCATTATTTGAAAACTTCTTTTCTGAAGGAGACGCTATTAGTCATCACACAATTCAATTCCAGCATGTGGTTTGCATACTTTTCCATGTTCAGTCTCACACAAGTGACTTTTTTCCCCAAGATCACACATTGATGTAATGACTCACATTAGAATCCTCTTAGTGATAGAAATGTAGCTGTGTTAGTCTGGTGTAGCTGAAACAAAATGCAGGACTATGTAGCACTTTAAAGACTAACAAGATGGTTTATTAGATGATGAGCTTTCGTGGGCCAGACCCACTTCCTCAGATCAAATAGTGGAAGAAAATAGTCACAACCATATATACCAAAAGATACAATTAAAAAATATGAACACATATGAAAAGGACAAATCACATTTCAGAACAGAAGGAGGATGCAGGGGAGAGGAGAGGAAGGTAAATGTCTGTGAGTTAATGATATTAGAGGTGGGGAAGGTAGATGTCTGTGAACTAATGGTATTAGAGGTGATAATTGGGGAAGCTATCTTTGTAATGGGTAAGGTAGTTGGAGTCTCTGTTGAGCCCCCCGCGGAGAGTGTCGAATTTTAGCATGAATG